GGATTTGATTTGATGAAATATAAAAAATACAAATGCAAGCGCACTGTTCCAGCAGCTAGTGGCCAACCTTTGTCTCTGTAGTGCAAGGCAGAAAAGTGTACAGTGGGTTAATAGAGATGATTTACTAGGAGAACAAGCACTGATCAGTAAGCGGTTAGAACAGTTAATTTGTGGGCCAACAACAATGAGCTGAAAAGAAGCTTAAAATGTAGCTTACTCTTTACCTGTGTTTCTTGTCTCCTTTGTTAATCAGATTAAAAAACAACCATGGAATCTGATAATATTGAGCTCATTTACAACGTGAAAGGTAAGACAGACAATGTTATTATAATCTACAAGCACGAGTTAAACCAGTATCTTCCAAGCCGCAAACACACACCACAAAAGAAAGTGAGAGCCTCCCTGGTGGTGTGGTGTGTGTGTGGTGTGTTGTGTGTGGTGTGTGTGGTGTGTGTGTGTGGTGTGTGTGTAACAAGAGGGAGAAGGCAGAGAGTCTATTGTCATCTACACAAACCATCTTGAAATGCAGGAGTCAGATATACATTATCTTCTATTAGCAGGGAAGCCGGCTGACAGGTTGGCAGTGAAAGAACGCAGGGTGTTGTCTGTGGTGTGTAATTAACAGAGAGAGCGTAAGTGTTGATCCTTTTTGTGCATGTCAGTCCACAAAAACAGCAAAACATTCAGATTAGAACCTAGAGCGAGGCTAAACAGAAACAGTAGACTGATAGTGATTTGTGAGTGTATTGTGAGCAAATTACATACAAATATAAACCATGTGTTGCTCTACCTGTGATGTGTGGACTTGCAATGTGTGTAGTTGGTGTGTGGTGATCGTGGAATCGATGTGGTGGTGTGTGTGTGGCTGCAAGGATCCGGTAGATGGATACAATTTAAACCAAGTGCAGTGTGTGGGAGAGGCCGATATATCCAGTAGTCGCTGAGCGAGCGCTCAGGACCGATTTCCAGCTCTTTGGCCGTTTGTCTCACCATGGAATTCCATATTATCTGTAACTCTAGCTGACAACACAGATAACAACGACCGTACCGACCATAGAGGTCGAACTTAGAGGTAAGTAGAAAGGCCTTCGTCGAATAGCAGTCAATCAACACTAAGTTTCACTGTTACCTTCCGATAAGTCTCTTTGTATTTGCACAAATAGGAACGTGACGCAGGCAGTAACAATGTCAGTCACGAAAACTCAGGTCTTCATCAGAGGTGATTTTTCATGTATTATTAGCAGCTCAGATATGGCCTGATATATTAAACCCTTAGATATTCATTTTCCATAATTTGACGGACACTGTAATACTTCTGCTATTCATCAGTCTCTGAGTAGATAAAAGTCCGAATACAAAATAAAGAGACTGTGGATCTTGTACAGGCATAAGTGAGAGAAGACATTGCCCCACATGTTGAGCTCGGCTATTTACAGTATGGTAAACCTAATGCTTTTAAAAGTCTGCTCAATATTCTAGCAGATAATCACTCTTACTGGATGTGCTGAAATTCAACATGGGAGGGTAAAACAGCTGTGGGGTGGTTATTAAAAATTTGACAAAAAATAGATTAAATGTTATAGTTACTATGTCTATTACATTACATACTAGACATGTTCTCCTCAGGGGTATTTGCGACAATAGCAACCTCTTGAAACATTGTTTTTGTTTCTACGAGATAATATGATATGAGGACTTGAAATATGGCAATGCAGTAAAAGAGTCTTGATTCATATTTGATTCAAAACCAATGCGTCCTTAATGGTTTTTTGCACATTTTATGATGATACGGCGGAGTTTTCGGTGCAGATTGCCAGCGTGAGAGATCTAGGGACTCACTGAGAATGAAAAAGTCATCACAAGGTAGCCCAGCTAAAGCAATAACCCTGACCTTTTTTATCAGCTATATTTACATACTAATGGGACCCTATCATTTATAAATGAATCAACGCTGTATGAAAGAAAGATTGCAGCTAGTTATTTGAGATCATACCACGTCATTTAGAAAGACTGATTCACAAAGCTATTATGATATCGATGATTTGTGATGAGGGGAAGCCGATATATAATTTTTTCTCCCCCCATTGGCTGGCCTCAATCAAAGAAAGATGCAGGTTTAAGACACAATGTTATAATCGTATTAAGAAGCTCTGTCCACCAAAATTAAACTGGTCAATGCTTGTAATCCAGATCGAAGGAGGCGCGCCCTATTATGGTAAGGCTTTCCCTTTGACACAACTGGCATGCTAAAAAACACCACATCAGTAAGACTAAGCGCTTATGATCGCAATTGTTTTTTAATGTTGTATTACTACGAAAAGGAGGACCTCGCCTGGAGACAACGTCTCCAGTGGACAATCTGGCAAAGGTAAAGAACACCGAACAGTGTCAATGAAGCAGTGTTGCTTCTGTCTATTCTTACTTATTGCGCAAAACAGCCAGCTGATTCCTAACTCTAAAACCGCTAACAACACCTACCCGTTGAGACAAATCTGCATAACATTTATAGCTTGCTCCATCTGGCTGTGGTAAAGAGTTAATGCTTAATTTTTGTGGTAGTTCTTGTATTCTAGCCATGTTTTCTTATCAGTTTTCCAACTTTGCACTTCTGAGATTTGTTACGAATCCTCACTCCTCAAAACCCATTTGAGGTGTTATTAGAACTGTCTGAAGTAAAGATTATAAAAGCCATAAAATACAAACACAAAGAAGGGGGACACCTTGGTAAACTTTTTGTATCATCTGTTTGGATCTTGTGTTGTCCTCAAGCACCGACACAGTCTAAAAATGACATGTTCACATTCCACTTGCGACCTACTTCCAATAAATTTACTGTTCCACCCATCAACACGAAATCACTTACTGAAATTATATTATAATATGTGAATGGTGCTGGTGAGAGGCACTTGGCAATGTTTCCACATATCACTTGCTCCTTCAATGAAAGATACCTGTCAGGCAGATAATACAACCGACACCGTCTGAAACATTCAAGATACAGCTGGAACCTTGGGAGACTTGCCCAGTTTGTGAATGTGCTTGTAACACATACATAACACACACACACAACACACACACACACGGACTGAGTGCACGAAACTTCCGTCCCAATAAGGCAAGTATAGAGGGGTTTTTCTGAAAACTGCTCACAGCTTGAAGCCTTGAATTCTGTTAGTGGTGTTGTGTTCGTTGGGTGGGGGGTGCTCTTGTGTGGGGTCAACTCAAAATGTTCAACTTGATACACACACTGTGAACACTTGAAAGATTACACACACACACACACAGACCCCTGCAGTATTAGCAAATATCAGGCATTTTTTCTCCCTGCTCTTGATCAGAAATTTAGATTTACTGGCTGTCAATAGAACAGCCTTGTTAGAATACAAACATGGGCGCTTACCCCGCTCTGGAGAGTGTTGGGAGTTCTTACACGCAGAATGTAGCCATTAATGTCAGCGGTTAAGGAGCACGGGCCTCGGTTTACACCACCCGCTGCTAATCAGTCAAGTACACACCACACCGACCGCCGGAGCACGCACAAGTGAACTCGCATCGGCATTACTCTGGGGCCATTACAAAAAGACCAAGACTAGCTCGTTTTAATTCGTACATTGACCATGAAGCTAAAACGATGTGTTCTCAATTTACAAGAGGTGGGCCAGATTCAAAATAGCCCAAATTTGACTAGCTTGATTAGTTGTTTAAAGCTGCAGGATTTTTTGGCACCTTGGGAGCAACAAGTAACAGCTGTGAGCACACACTGATGTTACGTTACTTTTTAGGTTGATATATGCGACTTGC